CCTTGGGCCATAGCTGAGAACGAAGAAGAGCTGACCCAGGTGTGAGAAAAGTACACTCAGGGTTCTTTTTTCTCCGCAGGTCCAGGTAGCTGAGAGACATGATCTGCTTGATGATATTACACCAGGCCAAGTATTTAGGATGAATACAAAGGGGGGTTCCCCAACACAGAGAACCCCATGGAGTAGGGGCTGCTTCTCATGCCCTCAGCATTGCTCAGAACTACAATTGCTCCATCTTTGTCTAGTCCAGTCATTAGGACTACGTAATAAAGACTCCTGTTCTCTTTTTACAGTAACCCACAACCTTCACTGTGTAGCCCACTTCCAGCCCCATTAGCCTCTAGTTAACTGAACTCAGACATGCCCTCACCCTCACATGTAATAATTCATCAGCAAGACTCTTCTAAATCATGCCCCAAATACTGGGCTCCAGCTTACTTGATAAGTCATGTTCCTGTCTCCTGAAGCTTTGTCTTTCTCTCTCACCCAGTCATTAGTCCCCCATTCATTCCTTCACAAAGCAAGCTCCCCCATGCTAAAAGATCTCCAGATTTTATCATTTGAAGCCACTTTCATATGGATAATATCAAAAAATCAGAGATGCTGAGAGACTGTATGAGTTCAAGATCACATGGCACAGAATTGGCAAAGTGAGAATTTGGGCCTAAACACATTTCCTGATATTCTCTGTCCTGCCATCAGCAAGCTCTGTGATTCCTCCGGTACATGTTCTAACCAGGCGTATGGGGAGCTCTTTCTTTTATCGGAATTTGAGTTGGCCCGTATCTGGGTCTTTCCCCAGCTTACTGCAGGAATTCCCTCCCTCTATATCCCAAATGCTACAGAGTTCTCATTCAAAGAGTTCTGTAAAGGAAATAGAGATGGTAAATGTCTGGTGAGAAAGGGGCTATAAAAACCAAGGAGGAGAGGATCCCTGGGCCACAGCTAGAAATGAAGGGGAGAAGGCTTGTTCAGAGATGATAGGAAAAAATAACAACAAAAACAAAACAAAACAAAAAAGCAAAAACTCCCACTGAGGTCTGAGAGGCCTGATGTGCCTGTTCTCCAGAAGTATAAGGAGCCACAGTTTGTCCTTCAGTCTTCACAGCAGCTCCACAGCTATGTGCAGAAAATGGGTAAATGACATCAGGATTTTCAATGCCAGTAAGAGCAACATAAGATTACTAGATGGGGTATATAAAACATTCAAATCAACAGTAAAATTAATCAGTGAGAATCTGGCCCAGTCCCAGCTTCCTCTTACTGTCCTCTGGATCTCCTCAAAGATTACCAAGATATTTGAATGTGTCACAAATACATATAAAAGATCACATATACCTCATATCGCACTACCAGCATGCTCATTCATCCCATAGATGCATAGGACCACTTGAGGCAGTCAGGTAGGAGCATACCTTCTAGCATATTAACTGTCAAACACACCATTCATAACCATAAAAAAAGACACTCCATCGTGGAGCAGTGCTTCCGACATGCGTCACCCTCTACCTAGACTTACGGGTATATATGCCTGGCATTCACAGTTTCAGCCTCTCATTCACACACAGCCTTTGTGTCTTCTCTGTTACTCATTCAGTTCCTGGCTCTGTCCTAGGGTCCCACACCTCAGCAAGCAGCAAGAATACCATCTACCTTTCTTCTGCCTCCATTTCCTGCACACCCCTCTCTCCTGTGTGGAGGTGTGCACACACTAAAGAGTCAGAGACAGAACTAGATCCCATGACTTTACATACACATATTCATTCGTTTCTTTCTTCATTCCCTTATAATAATCTTTCTTGAAAGCCTGTGTTGTGTAAGGTACCACATGAGACTCTGATGAAATAAAGATAAGCAAAAATCACTTCAAATGGGTTCTTGTTCTAGACTCAGCTGTTATGACCTTGAACCCAAGAATGAAGCAGGGGAGAAACAAGAAAAGAAGATTGTGCCTATACTATCCCACACACAAGAGAAATATCTACCTAGAAAATTTAAAATTCTGAAAGAAACTAGGACAGAGATGAAGTTGATGCTTGTACGCCCTGGGAGACAGAACTCATATCTGTGTTTCCATTTGTGCTTAACCCCCAAAAGAAAGACCCAGAAACCTAGAGTGGCAGAATTTCCCCTCTTGTAATAGTGTAGGCAGATGAGAAAAGGTGAGCCTCCCGGTTCTTCAGGAGCACAGGAAGCATGTTCACTTCATCCAACATTACAACCCCAACTCCCAGTATGCTACCTGGTATGCAAGACACACTGTTCATGAATGAATGAATGAATGAATGAATGAATGAGCCAAGGCAGCAAACCAATCAAAGTTTTTCTTGATTAAAAAAACAACAACAAAAAAAAGACCCTGAGAATTCCTTCTACATCCAGTATCTCTTCCTCCATTCCCCAATCCCCCTGGTCTTAGATAAGGGTGGACAGCCAAGTCAAATCGTTCATCACCAGCTGGAGATGCTGAAATCAACACAACCAGCTCCTCGTTTTTAGGCTGTATTTCTCAGCTTCTTTGTTTAGGAATCTCCTAAGTTAGAAAATTTTTCCTGCTAGCCAGAAGTAAAATCCCACTGTTGGAGACTTCCTACCCATATAGCCCATACTCTCAGCTGGTCCTAGTGTGAGAAATGGTATTGCTGGATGTTCTTTTCAACAAGAAACTCCCTGAACAATTTCATTAATGGAGGCTTTGCGTCCAGAGGCAAAAGCACCCTAAGAGTCTGTACGCCCTAGATTAGAACTTTAAAGGGAGGGGGAGGAGGAGGAGTTGTGTTTGGGAACCAAGATACATAAAGAGACAGATATGTAGAAATCCCATCTGTTTTCATTTCCATTTAGTGCCTAGTCCTGAGACAGTCATGTCTATCTCCCTGTTTCCAGACTAAGCAAACTCTTTTACTCCCTCACCCATGAGAAAGAGGGAATTTCCATTTCAGGGAATTCCTCTCTTCTCACCCCTTTAGAAACAATGACTAGAGGGCTGGCAAACTCCTCCCACCCAGAAAGAAAGAATATGAAAGCCTGAAATCCTTCTTCAGGTTGTCAAAGCCTTCTTAATATTCAAACAAAATCCAATCCAAAAAGCCATCAACCTGGGTTCTACCTTTAACTCTTTATCTGCTTCGAGAAAATGAGACTGAGAACCCACTTGGCGGGGTGGGGGTGGGGGTGTGAATAATCAGCTAGCTAGCATTCCTTAGGACCAGCTTTCTGAAGTCAGATAGACCAAAGCCATCTAGTCAGTGACGTCACTGATTATTGCCCACCATTTAAGACCATCTCAACTAAGACGCTGTGCAAACCTCTACTGCTTGCTCTCTCCAGAGTTCAGCACCAAATTAAAGAGGGAAATGGCCATTCATTTTCAGAAAGATGTTTGTTTGGCTAGAAAAGCGTGGAGGGTGATGAAAATGGGGAAACCCATTCTACTACATGGCCCTGCTCCCTGGAATGAGAGCCAGGTAAATGCGTGATCAACCACTAGTGCCATCCCGAGACACTGGAATTCTGTCTATAGCCCTGATACCTCTTTCCTCTCAGCCACTTCTTCACTTGCACTCTCCTCAGCTTAGCTATCATTGGCAGAGCATCCATCTCTATCTACCAAGACCCACTCAGCAAAAATCAATTCAATCTGGTTTTCCATTTCTTCATCCTAGAATTCATTCCAAGGCTGTGCTTCATAGAATCCAGCAAATTGCATTGGCCAGAGGCAGCAAAGGAGGGGACAAAGGAGCACATTTGGATTCCAAGCCTTGTCCACTGTGCCTCATTCTTCCTAAGGCCTCTGTAAGCAGCAAGCACGTATATCAGCCTCACTGCCCAATATAAAGCTGTCAATTCATCAGCACTGGTAAATAAAGAACAACACAAGGCATCTGTCTGTCTCCTACCTCCATCCTTCCCTTCATCACAACGCAGAAAGAGAAGGCTCAGTGCTTGCTGCTGAGGGTACCGGAGAAGAACAGGGGTCAGGCATGGTTACCATTTTGTTTCCTATCTTTCCCCTCTTTTCCTAGGAATCTCTCAGGGAGATATACTTCTTCTTTTATCTTTTGATTAAGAACCAACAGACTGCAGAGATTATACCCAGTGGCGCCTTCCTGGGAGGTAAACATGGCTTGCCTCTGACCCAATCCTGTTCTGCTTTGAGGGGCAGAAAGAAAACTTCCTTTTCTCCCTCAGAACGATGCATGAAACACCTGAGTGTTTCCTCCCCTTTTCATTACTCTCATGTGCTCTGGTCCCACAGTAAGGAATGAAGCCTTCATGTGCTTGGAGCTTCGATTAAGCCAATTATGTTGTTCCTGCCAATCAATCTTCTTCACTACAACACCCTCCTCTACCTGCCAGGTGAAGGTTCATCCACTCCTCCAAACTCCAGGTGAACACCAAAGCAGATGGTCCCCTCAAGAACAGGGCACCCTCATCCTGCTCCCTGTAGGATGCGGGAGGCAGAACTACCGGTCCCAAAGAAGATACATAGAACCCACAGGTTGGCACAAGTATCTCCATGCACTAGATCTGCAAGCACTCTTCACACCTTAATGACCCACGAACACTCGTGCACATGCATGTGATGTGTCTCCATCTGCACAACCTGAATGCACATGGATATGTGTGAGTCAGCCTGGCACCTCCTGAATGCTGCCTGTCCGCAGCCCTGTCGCACGGCGCATACTGTGTGCTGCTTCTTCGTGCTGCTGCGTGTGTCACCCTGACACAAAAGCACAAGCTTTGCAACTCCTAAATCCACTCTAACCAACAGGCTTGTTCTGCAGATGCCTCGCATATGTGGCCTGGACACGGGTGTCAGGACCATGTTTCCTCACACCTGCCAACATGTGCCCAATAAAATCTACCTGCCCATCTTGCAGATACACACACACACACACACAAAACACACACACAATCTTACACGCACACACGCGCGTGCACACACTCACACAGAGTCCAGGCTCCCCCCTTTCCACATTCCTCTGCCAGAGACTCACAGAGACCGTAGCTTAATCCACATCTTCTTGCTGGGGGCTGACTTCAGCTCCAGAGGTGACGGGCAATCCGACTCCAGCATCTCTGGAGGACTGCGGGGGGACAGCTCCATGCTCAGCCACTGTCTGGGGAATAGAAGAAGAGAGCCCCTCTGCTCAGCTTCGGGCCCTAGCCGAGAGACCCTCGACCCTCATCCTAGCTCGACCCTTCCCACCTGCGGCTGGCGTGGACCAGCCAGGCTAGTGTAACTGGGCTCGGCCCAAGCTAGCAGGGTTGCAGTTCCTGCGGCTGCTCCTTTCGCGCTGCCGGGCCGAGCTCTGGGCTCCAGCTTCCAGCTCTCCGCGCCGCCACCGCCGCTGCTGCCGCCGCCGCCGCCGCCGCCGCCGCCGCGCGCTGCCACAGCCGCCCCCTCGCCTCTCTTCCTCCGCGGGCCAGGGCCCCCTCCCTCCTCTCCCCTCCCTGCTCCTCCGCCCGCCGGTCTAGCGCGAGGCGCAGCCACTCCTCCCCCTCGCCCAGGAGTGCAGGGGAGCCGAGGGGTGCACACACTCAGGAGCGCCCAAGGGCGAGCGCGCGCCCCAGCGCCCCGCACGAGTGGCTGCTGCGTGTACCTTGCGCGCGGGGGGGCGGGGAGAGAGGGTAGTGCGTGTTGACAGCGCGCGCGGGCGACCCGCAGGACTTCGTGTGGATGGTGGGGTGGTTCCTCCTGGGTGTGTTTGGAGTTTCCGTGGATGAGCACTTGTGGTCCCAAGATTCCACGCGTGGCTAGTTGCCCGCGTGTCCTCTGTGGTTCTTATCGCTCCCTGGGGCACCCAGACGTGGATGGAGTGAAGCCGCAAGCCTCAGAACCTAACTAGGCCAAATCCCACACGCACTCCTGTCTTTGAAATGAAAAGTTCTGGTGGGTCTGAGTGATGCTGCATCCCACAGCTGGCCTCAGCTCCCACAGCGGGGTCTTCCAGACCTGCCTCTGTCGCCCTATTCATGGTGCCTCCAGCAACCCGCCCGGAGGGAATTTCTACCTGTTTTAAAGCTTTGCAGAGCAAGCAGTCACCATGCCTTCCTTAACTACCCAGTAACTACACAGAACCAGGAAATAAAGCCTGATAGCTAGCTTGGCCTGCAGGCCTGTAGCCTATCCAGCTCATTTCATTTTATTCTGCCTTCAGAGGAAGAAATTTAAGGGCTGAAGGCTCAGTGCAGGACAGCCTCTCTGCTGAATAAACATTTTGTGAAACAAGCAGATGGAATTCGAACTCAAGACTGTGTGCCAGGGCAAAACCTCTTCCAGCCAACCGTGTCCCATCATGGGAACCAGTTCTATCTCTTTGTTCTCTGAATGCACACCTACTTTGTTTGGCACTGTAGAAACTCATGCAATCTGCAAATAGAAAGAGATTCAGGGTTCCTGAATGAGAATTTTCATTTTAAGAATTCTGGAGTTTGGAAGGAGGGGTGATCGGGAGAAGACATGTATTCTAAACTATAGAGTGTAGGCTCCTCTTTTCTCAGTCAAAGAAGAAAAAAGGAACAGAAGAGAAGTGCTAGACTCCTATTGTAAAAGAACTGCCAACTCAGGTCAGGGCTTCTTTCTGCATCTGAGAAGCAGCCACCACCAGGTAGTTCAAAGGCAGAAGGCTGAAGCAGAGCTGAAGATAGAGCCAAAAGTGACAATCATCTTGGGCCCTTGCCCTCTGTCAATCTAACTTCAGCACACATCCCTGTATCCTCCTCTCCAGAGGAACAGTCACAGCCAATAGACCTCTGCATCTGAGAGCCTATCGCTTTTGCACAATACAGTTTACAAAATTTATAAACCATCTCCTTTATCAACTGAAAAGGGGATTGGCTAAAAACTACAGAAGAGTTAACTATGAATTAGGATTAGAGTTAAAAAGCTTTAACTCAAAATTTTCATTAGAACTAAGGTGTTTCCGATACAGACACTGTTCAACTAGAAGAGTTGAAAGGGGAAGGGTTCCAGGGCATACTTTCAACATTTCTTGTCAATACAATGGCATGCCCAGCATTCCTAAGCTGCCAACTTCTAACCCTTAAAAAAAGGGGGGGGGGGATTTCTAGAACTAACTACCTCCCTTTCCATTTAATAAGAAAAGTGCCCAGAAAAAATAATACAGTCCCACAGTTACCCTCTAAGTCAAAGCTGAGTCTCCCAACCTTCTTTCATGTTCTTTAGTCACGAGTTCTGGTGTTCAGCTTCACCTCCATTCCTCTAGCAAAAAAGCAGTGATTCTCTGTCTTTTCTGCCTCTCCTCCCTTCCTAGACCTTTCCTAGGCTCTTTCTGCCCAGCCTCATTGCCCTCCTTCCTGTTCAGCTTCTGCTAAACAGCCCTGCCCTTACCCCTTGGAAAATCTGCCTCCTCACACACGGTGCCCCACAATCCCTTCCAACAAGCTCAGTTTGATAAAGACCAAAAGTGATGCTTTGGCAGCAGGTGACGGATGGATGTGATCTGCCTCCTACAGGAATGCTATTTAAAAAGACAGCCCCACAATCCTCTCTTCCCAAAGTGACAAAAGAAAAGACTGCTCTTCAGTCTCTACCATGCTGCAAACTCAGCTCAAGTTAACTTCTGACTTCCCCAACCTGCAACCTGACCTGCAGTTCCAGCTTCCTATTCAGGTGGGAGGGAGAATACTTGACAACTCACTGAGGTGTGGGGGCTGAGGGGGACTCATCTTCACCTCCTTTGATGACAGGTACTTGGGAGAAGCAAGAGACCTTGTGGGGAGGAGGGCTGAAAGAACATTCTTCCCCCAACAACGTGAGCACATTTCAGCCATGTGCCAGCAGCATTGTCTAAAAGTCTAACTTTGTGAGAGAAGATTTAACTAACTAATCCAGGCAGTAGAGTCTTAGACTAAGAAAGTTGGTCCTTTCTTAGTCTAGCCTTAGACCAGCCTTGCTTCAGGATCTCAATCCACATTTGTTTCCTCCTTGTAAAGTGACAGAGGGAACCCCTACTTTCCTTGGCCAGACCTCAGGCTGCACCTTGAGGTTGCCGTCTTTACCTGCCTTCTGGATAGAACAACATAGCAGAAGAGGCAGCATCCCTGCCGCCCAAACCAAAGACAACACCTCAGCAAGCATCCCCCTCCAGGCCTGGTGAGAGGAATAGTTCCATCTCACTACTGCAAGGAAGTTAGTGGAGATTTAATTTAAAAAAAAGCTGCACTAATAAAAACACTGAGGCTAGAAACAACTCTCCCTGCAAGTCAGAGTAACTGGGGTCAGCATCCCTCCTGAAAATCACTCTTTAGTTCTTTTGGGACCTAAGTTAAATAAACTGAGGGGTCTCAGGACAACAATCCATAGGTGATGGTGTCCTGGGCTGTAAGAGGTCAGAGATCCTCCTCACTGAAAAGCAAATACCTGAAATGCTGGTGCCTCCTGTTTTTCCATGCACCCTTCCCTTCTAGTCATTCACCTTTCGTTCCTGCTGATAAACGTAGCTGCATCCTCACCTCTCCTCTTCGTTGCTTCTACAGTTTTCTGGGTTCTATAGAGGCAGTATGTCAGGCAGAAAGTCCAGCACCAAGCAGCAGACTTGGATTCCAATTCCAGTCCATCACATGACCTGATTCATTAAGTCATATATTGTTGCTGGATGTTTCCTGACCTGTAATATGGAAGCCTTCACTGCCTACTTTGCAAAATTGTTCTAAGTATAGAAAAATGATTTGAAAAACTATAGGTAGTAGATAAATGTGTGGGGATAATTACACATCTATGAAGAGAGATTATGTCAAAGTGCAAAATTTTAGAACTGGAAAACAAATCTGTTGATGTGGGAGTGGGTAGGTTGCAAAAAGGAAATGGAGGTGGTTACAAAATCTGTGTGGTAATAGAGTTAGCTACTCTGTGCCTTGACTGTCACAGAGGAATAAACCTGCACATGATAGGGCTGCATGTACATATGAAGAACCAGTGTAAGTAAAACTGGAACACCTGAATTAGATCAGTGAGTTATAGTAATACCCCATATTCTGGTGTGACTATGAACTGTGACACTGTGTGAGGGTAAACTGGATCTTTCTGTATTATTTCTTACAAGTACATGTAGAGCAAGTATCTCATTTTTTTTAATTAACAAAAGAACATTAATTCTACCTCCATTGCCTACCTCTCTAGCTATCCTCTGGGAGGTTCTTTGTAAATGATTCTCCATGCAGATGGGGAAGGGGAGCTTTATGATCCCTCAAGCAGAAGAACAAAGTGGAGATACAACAGTATAGGGTCAGCAGGGTACAATGATATAAACCTAGAATCCCACCATTTGGGAGGCTGTTGCAGGAGAATTGTGAATTTGAGGCTAACCTGAACTACATAACAAGAGAAAAGAAAGGAAGTGTCATTCGTCAGAGCCTTTCTCTCCTTATCAGTTTGTCTGACACTGAATCACCCCTTTCCACATAATAAAAAATAAGAAGCAAGGACAATGAACAGAAGCATGAAGCAAGTGTCTCTGTGGCATCTATCCTAAAGAGCAGGGAGTTCTTACTAACCAAAACGTGTGTTGATTATGGGTGTCAAGTGAAGGAAGTATTGACTAAGAAATAAAAAAGCAAACATTCATAAACAATCCCAAAACAGCTATCAAATTGGTTTAATGAAAGCCGGGTGGTTTTGTTGAAAACCAACAATTACTTTCTTTTCATAGTGGAAGTATAGACATAATCCTAATTAATCAACTGACTAATTATATTTTCCCATTCCAACTATTCTAGACCTGTGACACATATGATCTGCTATGCCAGCCCTCCCTGGCAATGACTGTGTGAGTGAAGGGTGGAGCTACTGTTTTCTGTCATGGAGTTACTAAACCTAGTTAGTGCTATATTAAATGCCCCAGGCTCCGTGACACTTGAAATTCTAATTACTGCAGAAAAAGGACTAAGTTGAAACAGCTTGTACTCCCTCAAGGATCCCTACTCTTGGGCCCTAATGAGGTTTGTGAAAATTAAGATCTACAAGAGAAGCCCTTTCCTGGAGCAACAGCTGTGCTCAGGATGACAAGGGGATTTGGGGTTAAGTTAGTCCTACACATTAGGAGGTAGAGTACCCCCAAATGGTGTAGGAAGGAAAACCCGTCAGGTGATCTGGATTGCCCCTCTCTGTTCTGGATTATGGAGACACAATGACCCAAAGCAGACAAGGTAAGAACAGGGGAGATACACTCTTTACCCACAGCAGACAGGAGAGTAAGCTGGCATAAACCTTCTGGAGGACACATTCTCCTTGCCCCAGTGGGGAAGGCAGTCAAGCAAGGGTAGAAGAAGAGCCCTTGGAAGAGAAGTGGGTCCCTGTGCTGCTCTGCTGCAGCAGAACAGGCTGGACGTT